CCTGGTATTTCTGGCCACTGTGTGACAGAGTGTTGGACTGGATGGGCCATTGGTCTGATCCAACACTGGCTTCTCTTGTGTTCTTATGTTCTTAAATTCTAGCTAGTTGAAAAAATATATATAAAGGCTGGTGTGGAGGAGCTAAGGTTAGGGGCAGGAGGGTTTTACGTTGGCGCGTAGGACTTTGCCCCTGTGGTCTGATTGCAGAGGCCAGGGGCGTCTAGGGCGGAGGCCTCCAGGTGTTCTCTTCCTCCCTTTCCTGCCGCCCAGGTGTTGCGTCTGCTCAATGTCGTCTGGAGCCCGAAGACCAGCCCCCGCTCGGCCCCCTGCTCCCGGGGCTTCCCGGAGCTGGCAGAGCTGTGCTTGGCCACCACCTCCTACTCCTTCGTCAATGACGGCACCGTGCAGCGGATCTTGTGGGCCTCCGACCGACTCCGCGTGCTTGACCTGCGCGGCTGCTTCCATATCACACCCAAAGCCCTGCACCGGCTGCCGTGCCCAGGTAGGTGCGAAGGGATCCAGTCCCGCCTCGTCTCCTGCACTGCTTGGTGGACAGCCCGTTTTCTAACAACCTGTCTTTCCCAGACACTCAAGTAAGCCCTGCCGTTCAGGCTCAGCCCATGTGTGAGAGCGGCAGGTCTGTGGTTTTGAATCCAGGACTGCCACCCAACGTGGGTGGTGGGAAGTGCCGTCAAGTGGCAGGTGACTTGGGGCAACCCCGGTAGGGTTTCAGGTCAAGGAATATCCAAAGGTGGTTTGTCATGGCCTGCCTCTGTGCAGAGCGACCCTGGACTTCCTTGGTGGTCTCCCATCCAAATGCTGACCAGGGCCAACCTTGCTGAGCCCTCAAGATTTGATGAGATCAGGTTATCAGATCACAGTCCCATCTCGCTTGGGGCTTTTGGAACTGGGACTGCTGGAACTTCCCCACTGACCTCCTTCTAGCCACCATTCGTCAGTTTGTGTTTGACACCCCTGCAGGACGGACCAGTCTCCAGATGTGAACTTAGGCAGATCATGAGAGGGAGGGCAGGAAGGGTTGCCTCAGTACTTAGTTCTCGTGGCCCCTTCTTACAGGCCCAGGGAAAGGCTGATTGCCACTTTGGGGTCAGGAGGCCATTTTTCTCCAGGCCGGTTTGGCCATCTTATGGGCGTGGAACAGTGGTCACTGGGGTGTGGAGGGGGAGGTTTTTATTGAATTTCCTGCCTTGTGCAGGGGGTTGGACTAGATGACCCTGGAGGTCCCTTCTGACTCTATGATTCTTTGACAGCCCTTTCTTTGAAATTGCTCCCTGCCTTATATCTCTCTTCTTGCCTTTCTTCTTTAAATGTTTGTTGTGATTTTATTTTATCCATTTCTTTAAAACATTTGTTAGCTGCCTTTCTACCTTGCAAAACCCCAGGAGGCTTACGATGTAAATAAAACGACAATGATATAAACCCATAAAAGACCACAAATTTAAAATCTCTGGACAGGAATCAATGAAATGCTGTCTTAGATAGAATCGTCTTCAACCGGCTCCTCTGGTGCCCAACAGATGAGCTCCTGTGATTGGTGGGACCGTCCCCGTGATCTCATCCCCCTTCATTCCTCCTGCAGACCTGGAGCAGCTCTACCTGGGCCTGTACTGCAGCACCAGCTACTTCCGTATGCCCATGGAAGGGATACACCTCCTCACCCAGAAGTGGAGCCACAGCCTGCGGGAGCTGGACCTGGCCAGCCAGAGCTTCAGCGAGAGCAGCCTGGAGCGGGCGATGGCCGCCTTGGCCCAGGGGCAGAGCCAGAGGGGCGGCCCCACCCTGCGCTCCCTCAATCTCACCGGCACCAAGGTCATCCTCAGCACAGTCTGGTGAGCCGGAGGGAGGGGTGGGGGAGGGCCTGTTTCCCCAGCCCCCTCTTGCTTTGCTGCTCTTTGGGCCTGACTCGCACCCACACTCCTCTGGGAAGCTGCTTTGGCTTTTTCCTGGCTTTTCGTGAACCTTTGCCCTGGCATCAAGAACCACAGGGGTAAGGAAGAAGTCTGATAAAGGGCCAATATTAAAAACCTGGTTGAAACTTATGGTGTACAGAAATACATGTATTTATTAGAAAGGCAGTTAAAAACAAATAAGGGACCAATGAAAGCCCCGTTGCAAAGTTCAAGTGGCCTGAACCCAAAGGACCAATACACGTGACCTGACGTGTTTCCACCCTATTGGGGGCCTCCTTCAGAGGTCAAACAGTTTGAGGTACACATATTACAATATTACATATTACCAGGGCTATTTTTGGGCAGGAACTCACAGGAACGGAGTTCCGGCTGGCCCCCAACTTGGCCACGCCCAGCAGGAACTCATTAGCATAATAGGCCACACCCAACAGCAGGAACTCATTAGGATTGGCTACATTAGGGGTGTGTGGCCTAACATGCAAAGGAGTTCCTGCTCCAAAAAAAGCCCTGGGTTTTGACAGCAAACAAGGTAAACAGAATAAGAAGCAAAAGGTGGGTGTGGCTGGATGACCACACTTCTGGTAACACGGGGGTGTGGCCTAATATGCTAATGAGCTGTGCTGTCATGTGTGTGGCCTAATATGCTAATGAGTTCCTGCTGTTGGGTATGGCCTATTATGCTAATGAGTTCCTGCTGGGCTTTTTCTACAAAAAAGCCCTGCATATTACAATAAGATAACCAATAAGTGAAGAGTGGACCAAGAAAAGGAAGGTTAAGCCGCAAGATCAATAGCCACAAGAGAAAGATGTTTGTGAGGCCTCAAAAGGTGAAAGTCATAGCATCATAGAATGTTAGAGTGGGAAATTGATCAAAGGGAGGCGCAACCGTGGCACAGCTCTTGTGTGAAATCGGTCTCTGAGTGAAGGGCGGGGTTATAAATCCAATCTCCTCCTCCTCTCCCTTGACCTCCCTCACTGAACTCCCAAGCTCCTCTCCCCTGTTAGCAACTCTGTCGGGAGCCCTGGTCGCCAGCCCCAAAGGGCTCCCGAGTGCCTCTCACCCTCTGGGATCTCGCTCACAACTTGGGAGGGGAGGGATCTCTGTGCTCCTCTCACGTGTCCGAAGTCTCCCCTGACTTTTGAACTAGGTTGGGGGGGGTTAGCTGCTAAGCTTTTTCAGAACGGTTTCTCACAGCTGTGTTCGATGTACTCCGACCTGGGGGCTGCGGGACATCAGAACATAAGAGAAGCCAATGTTGGATCAGGCCAGTGGCCCATCCAGCCCAACACTCTGTCTGTCACACAGTGGCCAAAAATACCAGGGGCCATCAGGAGGTCCAGCCAGCAGTGGGGCCAGGACACTAGGAGCCCTCCCTCTGCTGTTGCCCCCACCCCCCCAAGCACCAAGAATACAGAGCATCCCTTGCCCGGGACCGAGAGTTTCTACCTATCCCTTGTGGCTAATAGCCACTGATGGACCTCTGCTCCATACGCTTGTCTAATTCCCTCTTGAAGCCACCCATGCTTGGACCTTACAGCTGATCCTCCCTTCCCTGGGAAGGAGCGCAGTGTTCCCTCTAAGCTGAGTAACTGTGAGCTAGCTCACAGTTTTGTAGCCTCCGGCTCTCACGTTTTCGTCTCAGCTCAGGATCAGACTAATTTATGCAGCAGCCAAATCCCTCGCCCACAACTTTAATGCCAGTAGCTCACCAAGTAGAATTCTTGCTCACAAGTCTCCACAGCTTAGAGGGAGCATTTTCTCTGAAGCCTTGATGAATCCAGGCTTGGGCCTTGGGGAGAAGCCAGCCCTTGCATGCCTAGCCATAAACAACCGCAGAGCTGGTGTCAGGAGGACTGCAGTTCCTCAAGCGACCGACCTTGGCATATACCAGCGGTGCTGTGATAACCAGTCCTCCCACCGAGCCGGAGTGGGGAGGAGGCAGGCACAGATCTCTGGGTGTCCCGCTAACGCCCGTCTCTTCTCTTCCTCCCAGCACCCTGATCGACAGCTGCCCTGCCCTCACCTACCTCAACCTCTCATCCTGCCGCCATCTGCCGCGGGGCACAAAGAAGGCCTATCGGGGCCGGGAGGAAATCCGCCAGTGCCTGCACCACCTCCTGCCCAGCACCGGGGAGCCTCTCTGAACCTGCTGGGCTCCCGTCTCAGACCACTCGCCCCTTGCCAAGTCCGGACCTGCGCCCTTCCCAGCTGGCTCTTTTGCTCCTCCACCCGGACAGCCGTCCTTCTCCTCCCCTGCGAGGGGTCCTGGGCGGCAGAGAGGCTGAAGGGAAGCGTTCCGGATGCTCAGCGGGACCCTCTTTCCCAGTTCCTGGTGTCTTTCCTGGCACGTTTAGGTCAGAACGCTCTCATGGTTTTCGAGACGTTTTTGACGTGGGTCCGGACACTGTTCGTGGCACTGGGTCACCACTCGCGCTGCGGGGGTGGAGGCCCTCCCTGGCCCCTCTCCGTTTCCGTGTGCCTTTCCGAATGGGGAGGGCTGGGAAGCTCGGAAGGGGTCACTCTTGCGGAACAGTGAAGAGCAGGACTCCTCCTTGCAGAGTTCCCGCGAGTGTCCCCTTTGTCTGGGAGAGGGGGAGCGGCTGGCACGCCCCCAACTCTCTGGGGTTATCGCCTCTCTTATCCAGCTCCCCCAGATCAGGAGGACAGGAGGTGTGCCCGAGAACTCGTCTCTAAACCATCGCTCTGGACAGAACTCCCAGCATGCATCTGGGTTAGGCCTCATTTGACACTTTTGCAGTCTTGTTTAATACCATTTGAAGTTTCCGGACCGTCTTCAGGGCACTTTTCCCTAGAACCGGTTTCTCTACCACTGAGCACCCCCAAGCTGGGCAGCTGCTCTGTCAGGAGCCGTGTCACCCCACTGGGACAGCTCAGACACCAATTCCCACATTACCATCCTCCCACCCGTATTAATCTGACCCAGGACTTGAGATCCGTAGGGAAGTGTGGCTGGTGGGGACCTGAAGGAAATCTGCCTCTGTGATCACCCTCCTCCCCCTCCACACACACATCCTCAGGAATTGAGAGGCACCTTCTGGGCGGGTCTCAAGACCGGGCCGTTCCAGAGGGACTTTACGTTAAAGGGACTTTTTATAAAATGGATGTTTATATTTTCGGGTGGCTTTTGGGGGGGGGGGAGGTGGCTTTACTCCTGGGTCTTTTTGAACTGTTCGAATCATTCCAGCCGTTTTGTTATTTTGTGTTTATCTGTTATTGTAAATTGCCCCGCGGGTCTCTTTCGGCTGGAAGGTAGTTAATAAAGTTACGAAACAATTTTTTTAAAAGCAAGCGCGTCGGTGGCACTGAGCGTCAGATCTCTGCTTGCCGCTTCCTTTAGCTGTTAAGTGCTGTGAGGGGACCGGAAGGAACCGTGTGGCGTCCCACTTGCCAGAGTAAGGCTTCAGGGAAGGGTTTGGACCCCTTCCGTGCCCGAGACTGGACTTCAGAATGACGCTGTAAGACGAGGATGAACTTTCAGAGGGGAGCCGTGTCCAATGCTCCCTCCAAGCTGCGGAGTCTTGTGAGCAAAAATTCTACTGTGTGAGCTACCGGCATTAAAGTTGCAAGCGAGCTGGCTGCTGCATAAATTAGTTTACGCAGGAGCCATCCTTCCTGAGCTAAGACAAAAATGCCTGAGCCAGAGGCTTAAAAACTGTGAGGTAGCTCACACTAACTCAGCTTAGTGGGAATACTGGCCGTGTCGGTCGGCAGGAGAACAGCTTAGATACAAGTCCAGGAGCACCTGAAAGGCAGCGTTCCCTCTGAGCTGAGTTGGTGTGAGCCAGCTCACAGTTATTTTAGCCTCCAGCTCACACATTTTTGTCTGAGCTCAGGAAGGACGGGGGTCCAGAGCAAACTGATTTATGCAGCAGCCAAATGGCTCGCTCACAACTTTAATGCTAGTAGCTCACAAAGTAGAATTTTTGCTCACAGACTCCACAGCTTAGAGGGAGCATTGCTGAGAGGCCAACATGATTTTCGGGGCTATAAGCTTTTCAGAGGCTCCGGTCACACGGGCAGGAAACT